GAGATCACTCCTAGAAGCTACCCCAAATACCCTGGGTCAATCTATCCAAATCTAATCCCTTCGTGCATGCACCAAAGCCCAATTCCTGTCCTCCACAAGGACTCTCTTTCTCTCATTTCCAAAGGTGGGTGCCACAAAATTTCAGCTTACTTATGTCATGATGTTAATCATAACTCTCTTGGCCTATGAAGTTACTGGCATCTGTTGTCACCATCTGCTCTGAGTACCTAGCATAATACTGAACAGATACTGTGAAAACTCAGTAAGTACTTGTTTCACTAGGCACTCTGGCTTAATGTGTACATTTGTATTGACTATAATTGAGAATCTCCCCCATGTTCATTCTTTGGCAACAGGGAAAACGGCTTTTGCATAAGGACTCATTTCTGTTTGTCCACAAGTCACATGTTGAAATATACTACCCTCCTGTAGCAATCCAAGCCTTTTTCATTTGGTCAAGTATAAATAAAGCAGAATGGGATTACTAGTCTCTTCATTCTTAGGCAAAAATGGCTTTTCTCAGGTAGCCCCATATACTGAGGGTGGCGAGTTCAAACCTGGCCCTGGCCAAATTGCAACAAAAAAATAGGTGGGCGTGTGGCAGGTGCCTGTAGTTCCAGCTACTCGGAGGCTGAGGCAAGAGAACTGCCTAAGCCCAGGAGTTGGAGGTTGCTGTGAGCTATGTGATGTCACTGCACTCTACCAAGGGCAATAACGTGAGACTCTGCCTCTACAGAAAAAAAAAAGAAAAAGTTTTTCTCATCTTCACTATACTTCCTCATTATCTATTTTTAGCATGAATGCTTTAATTCAGGCGTCACCCTATACCTAAAATAGTTATATTTACATGTGTGGCCAAAAGTCACAGCCACAAAGTATAATAAAATGCTTGCTAATTCCAAACTGCCTATATTTCTATTCCTGAGCTCTGAGTAAGTCATAAAATGATGATAAGGTCCAGTAGCAAAGTAAGCACTGCAAATTATAAATAGCAGAAATAGTTTCTGTCATTTATTCAAAATCATTAAAAGGACTGCCTTGAAAGTAGTGAGGTCATCATCATTAAAGATCTTTATGGAAAAGCTTAAGGGCCATAGTTAGATACTGCAAGAAGCAAATCAACTGGACAAAGGGTGGGTCTAGAAAACATCCCTACCACCTTGAAGATTCTAGAAATTTGAACTTCTCAGAAAGCACAGGACAGCATTTAATTTAATTTATCCCAGGCTGTCACTGCCTGAGTAAATTTTGTAGTTCCCCCAGCACGGCTCAGTATGACCTACATATGGGGGCACTTAGTTACTGTTCACATCATTACCAAAGACAGGTATTCATGAAGGGACAGAGATCAGGTGCTCACACCACCCATAACCCAACTGGAATCATAAAGGAGTACTGAGAAAATATTGTATGCATCAATGCAATTGTATCATACATTGCATTATCAAGGGCTATTCAAATGTATAATGGTATGATGGTACTTTATAGAGCTTTTGAATTCCCAAAGCCCTGTTGCTCCTTTTGTTCAGGCTAATAAGGAAAAGACTCAACTATTAAATCAGTTCCTAGTACAAATTTACACTAAGATTTTTGGATCACATCCAATTTCAATAGTGACTGCATAATATACCAGCATAATAGAAATCAATATACATGAAATTAGGACAGCAAGTATCCTCAGTGTAAGTAAAAAAGGAAAAAAAAACCTGGTGGTCACACTATCTGTGCTTTTTCTCCAAAAGTTCAGATTGAAATAAGTCTCACATTCTCAGAACCCTCATTGTTTAAAGATCTCCAGGCACTGGGTCACATCTTCCAAAATCTTACAGTCTTGCTTTCTGGATTTGTTTATCCAGTTTGTGGCAAGACCTTATTTGTGATTTCTCACAGTTGTCAGTGGTTTTAGGTCCTAACCCAAGAACGGATTACGTTTTCTACAGCATCCATCCAGAATTCCTGAATTTGCTTCTGCGGCTTTATCTCTTCATAGGCAAAGGTGGTTGAGGATAAACAGAGGACAGGAGTTTGGTCTGGGACTTTCACCGGCTGAGAACTTTCAGGGGCCAGGGGGCTGGGGTGGGAGGAGAAAAAAGAGGTTTCCACACTCTGTGAGCGACTGAGTCTCCTGCCTTTGTGGGGAAAGACAGCGCCCACAAGAGCTCGATCCCCGCTCCGGAAAGCTGCATCTGGAAGAACAGGTCCTCCCAACTCGGTCTCCAAACCCACAGGCTGCCCAGGACCGCCCCCGCACAGGCACCCCTCCTTCAGACCTTAGCGACGGCGGCCCACGGACCCGAGGCCGGCCGCAGGCGCCGGGCAGCGCCCCCACTCCCAGCCTCAACTTACAGCCAGTCTCCTTCTTGATTTCCTCAAGCTCTTCGTCCCGCAGTAACGTGGAGGCCCGAGACCCCATCGCCGAGCCGGGAGCGCCTTCGGGAGCAGCGGCGCCAGAAGCTACGGCGGCTAGAGGGAGGGAGGGAAAGGAGGAGGAAGGAAGGGATAGGGGTCAAGAAGGGAGAGGGCAGTGTTTCCACTGCGGACCCGGGAGGGAACCCAGGGGTGCCGGGCGGGGGGACGGCCCCTGCGACCAGCCAATCAGGAACGAGGCTCAGCCCTGCGCAGGAGCCGACGTCGGTGAGGCGAGTTCCAGCCGCCGAAAGAAGCCGCCCAGCGCCGGCCCTAGTCCGGGGAAAGACGGACCCCGCCCCCGGAACCGCGGCTGCCACCGGACTTAAAGGGGCGATGCCACTTTGGCGCTAGAGACCGCAATTAAAAGGGCCACGCCATCAATCCACCGTTTTACAACAGACGAAGCTGCGGCGGACAGCGTAGCCTACCCTTTCTCACATGACTCGAAGGCTAGGAATCCTACCTTACAGCTGGTATGGATTTCAGAGGACAAGAAGATGAATAGACAAAACTTGGCAAAGGGAAACCCTAGGGTGTGTCCCCCGGGGACTGCAAACCGGGAGTCGCACCTATTCATCTTTCTCGGACCGCCCTCTCTCCTCCGGGCCGCTGGGGGCGCTGGGGAGCCGGTCTCGAGGCCGCGAGCGTGCTCGCGGGACTTGGCCGGGACTCGACGTTGCTCTCGGCGGGCGTCGTTTCTGCCGCTGTGTGCCCGGCGTTGCGCGTACTTTTCTCTAGTTTGCTTTCAGGATTGTGCTTTGGTAACCTCCTCAGGGTGGCTTGGAGCGCCCACAGATTTCTTCCTTTACAGCAGTCCCTCTCCTTTTAGTTCTAGACTGAAGTTCGAGGCTCTCAGCATTTGACTGAAACTGAGATCCATATTTTCCAAACTTCCTTCGGTGGGGAAAAAACCCTAACGGAGGAAAAAAATGAATTCTTAGCGTATGGCCCGCCGTCTTTTGAAGTTTATTTTGTCTGAAAAAAAGAGAAATAGTGTTTTATGGCATGTTTGCTTTGATGACACTCGTTAAATTAGTACACCCTCTCAGGTGACCTAGTTCTCTTCCTGTGTCTTCAACTGTTTTACCCCTTCACCTGTTTATTTCGAACAAGTTTGAGAAACGGAAGAACCACATTCTGACAACTAGCGCTTAGTACTTGAGTAGGATATTCTTATATTAGCAGGCTTTCCCAAATTAATCCTGGTTTCTAGTTTTAAATTTCACCTAAGGTCTTACAGCTGATGCACGTGAATCCCCTACAGGCTGACGTTCTAGTCTCACAAGATATTTTCTCGATTGACTTGCTCTTGTCTGACCTGGTGATGTAGGCCTTCCTAGGCAGAGAGAAACATTTTGGACGTGCCAGTCTAAGAAGACACCAGAGCTGCTTTTTATCTTGCGAATATGGGTGTGGTAGGAAAACCTGACGTCTGCCACATGATAATCCTTTTTTTCAGTCTACCTTGAAGCCCATCTCTTGATATTCCTGACTTGACTTTCCTTCCTCATCTTGAATCTTACCATTTGCGGCTGTTTCTGGTCTTAATTTTCTTAGCTTCATGTTAACGTATTTTTGTGATATAACATTCTTCTTCTCTGACGTTTTAAAAATGTTCCTATTTTTAAAACAATTAAACTTTTCTTTATCTTTTTAAAATATAAATTAATTTTTGCCTAAACTGAGGTCTTCCAGTTTTATGTTGCATTAATGTAAAAAATCTCTTTTTACCTGTTGGACTAACCTGAACAAGTAATTTTTTTTTTTTTTTTAAGACAGGATCTCATTTTGTTACTCATCCTGGAGTGTAGTGGCATAATCATAGGTCCCTGCGTCAACAAACTCCTGGCTTCAAATGATTCTCTGACCTCAGCCTTCCAAGTAGCAGGGACTACAGACGCACACCACCACACCCATATTCACACCTTGTTATATTTGATCCTCCCAACTTGATCTCCCAAAGTACTGGGATAATAGGTGTGAACCACCCAAGCTTGGTCCAGAGTGACTTTTCTTAGGCTCTCTGATGACGTGTTTTATGCTTTCTGGATGCATAACACTTCGTCTTGCATTAGACTACGTCTTCCACTAGGGCCCTTGGTCCTGGTTCGGATTCCATTACCTTCTAGCTGTGTGACTTTGGGCAGGTGTCTTAAATCTCTAAGCCCTGGTTTCCTCATTTGTAATTTATGGTTATAAGTATCAAATAATGTGTGTAAGTACTTGATAGACCTTAAAATTAAAATGTAGGTTATTTGGCTAAAAATGGTATATAACTTCTCACCTTCTTCCTAGTTCAGTTAGGCACTGTTATTTCATCACTTTTTATAGTTAAGTTGCAAAATGCACTGGTTGAATTTTCCTATCGTGGAAAAGGCAAGCAACTTCTAAATTTAAACCACTATAGAAAAAACATTTATCTAGGATTTTAAATACAAGGACATTCAAATAACAGAATAGTTCTAAGAGATAACTTTGAAAAAGCATTTATCATTTAAATCACTATATTACCCTTAAGAATGCAAGAGTATCTACTATGAACGATAGATATTTCTTCTGTATTGTTTCTGTATTGTGATTCTTTATAATAAGCATGATCATTTTTCAAAAGCATTTGAGTATGTGGTATGTGAGAATTTGATCTGTCAGGCTGCACGTGACTGGTTGGTTATACTATACCAGCCAGGTCCCCAGGCTGTGGCCAGAGTGGCATGGAATGACCCTTGCAGTAACATCATGGCAGCTGGATTGGTAATGCATAAATTGTGATAGTTGTAAGTCATGCTTTGATTGGTAATAGTGTCAAACTCTACAAATGTTATTAATCCAAAAGAGTATCCAGAAAAGGTTGCAATTCAGACATTTCTGGGTAAAAAATCTATTCCAGAGGCTGGGCACAGTGGCTCACACCTTTAATCCTAGCACTCTGGGAGGCCAAGGTATGTGGATAACCTGAGTTCAGGAGTTCAAGACCAACCTGAACAAGAATGAGACCTTCTCTCTCTTAAAAACAGAAAAACTACCCAGGTGTTGTGGCACATGCCTATAGTCCCAACTACTCAGGCTGAGGCAAGAGGATCGTTGGAGCCCAAGATTTTGAGGCTGGGGTGAACTATGATGCCACCACACTCTTTCCACAGCATAGAGTGAGATTCTGTCTCAAAAGAAAAAAAATGGCTCGCGCCTATAGCTCAGTGGATAGGGCATGAGCCACATGCTGGTGGGTTCAAACCTGGCCCAGGCCTGCTGAACAACAGTGACAACTACAACAAAAAAATAGCTGGGCATTGTGGCAGACACCTATAGTCCCAGCTACTTGGGAGGCTGAGGCAAGAGAATCACTTAAGCCCAGGAGTTTGAGGTTTGTGTGAGCTGTGACACCAGGACACTATCGAGGGTGACACAATGAGACTCTGTCTCAAAAATTATTGTGACATGTTTTGGGAAGTATTTTTGCTTAAGTCAATTTTTAAAATTTGTTTTTTTCCCTTTTTTAAACTGTTAAAACTATGTATGTATATGCATTTTTTTTTTTTTTTGAGATACAATCTTGCTCTGTCACCCAGGCTAGAGTGCCATGGTGTCAGCCTAACTCATAGCAATCTCAAACTCTTGGATTCAAGTAATCTTCCTGCCTCAACACTGTGTAGCTGGAACTACAAACATGGGCCACTGAGTCTGCCCAGCTAGTGTTTCTATTTTTAGCAGAAACAGAATGCGACTCTTCCTCAGGCTGGTCTTGAACTCATGGGCGTGAGGGTTCCTCCAGTCTCAGCCTCCCAGAGTGCTAGGCTTACAGGCATGAACCACTGTACCTAACCTGTGTGTGCCTTTTTAAAAAAGCTTCTCAATTCTCTGGGAGACTAAGGCAGGTACATTACTTGAGCTCACGAGTTCAAGACCAGCCTGAGCAAGAGGGAGACCTTGTCTCTAATAAAAATAGGAAAAAAAAAATACTGAGGCAAGAGGATCACTTGAGCCCAAGTGTTGGAGGTTGCTATGAGCTATGATGATGCTATGGCACTCTATCCAGTGCAACAGCTTGAGATTCTGTCTCAAAAAAAAACCTCTATGGACGGCACCTGTGTCTCAGTGGGTAGGGCACTGGCCCCATATACCGAGGGTGACAAGTTTGACCCTGGCCCTGGCCAAACTGCAACAAAAAAATAGCCAGGGATTGTGGCAGGCGCCTTTAGTCCCAGCTGTTTGGGAGGCTGAGGCAAGAGAATCTCCTAAGCCCAGGAGTTGGATGTTGCTGTGAGCTGTGTGACGCCATGGCACTCTTTGGAGGGCGATAAAGTGAAACTCTGTCTCTACAAAAAAAAAAAAAAAAAAAAAGCCTCTAAATATTCTGCTTATTCCATTTATCTAAGGAAAGGAAGGTGATATTATCCCCATTTTAGACCCAAGGAAGCCAAGCTTACTTTGCCCCAAATCTTAAGGTTTTGGGTTTCCCATATATGAGAAGTAGTGCTTACAATGATCCTTTTCTCATCATTCTAAAAAAAGGAACAAAACTGAATTACTCATATTTTTATTCTTATCAATTACAGATATGGGAAAAGGGAAATAACTTTACTCTCAAAAATCTTTTTAAAATCATAAATCTCTTTATTAATTTTCAAGTGTTGGGACACCTAAAGATTATCTGTCTTTTTTTTCCTGCTAGACCACCCGGGAAAAGGAAGATTACTTGAAGACTGCTTTTGGAATCAATTTAGCATGGACCCCAGCAGTGACTACCATTTCCTCAATCAGATTTTGTGGAGAAGGGTAAAGCTCACGTTGGTTTGTGGCATCTTCGAGGGTGTGCTCCAGCATGTGGACCCTAACAAAATTGTTGTCCTAAAAAAAGGTCTCATTTTACTTCTCATAATGTTCTGCTTTTTAAGAGATTAATGACTAAGTTTGAGTGATGGCTTTGGGCTCCATTAGCACCTGAGAGGGTAGCATTTTTCCTATTTTAGGGAAGGGGTAGGAGGAAGGTTAGAATACCGTTTTCCCTAACAGAACAATGTGACTATGACTACATAGGCTGGTTACTCCTCACTTCTATACTTTTGACATAATAGCAGAATTTCTTTTTTTTTTTTTTGAGATAAAGTTTTACTTTGTCACCCTGGGTAGAGTGTCATGGTGTCATAGCTCATAGCAACCTCAACTCTTGGGCTCAAGTGATTCTCTTGCTTCAGCCTCCAGGGTAGCTGGAACTACAGGTGCCTGTCATGACACCCGGCTATTTTTAGCGATGGGGTCTCATTCTTCCTTAGGCTCAGGCTGGCCTTGAACTTCTGAGCTCAAGCAATCCACCTGACTCAGCCTTCCAGAATGCTAGGATTAGAGGTATGAGCCACCTCACCCAGCCATGATAGCAAAATTTCAATATGGAGAGTTCTTTTTTTTCCTCTTTTTTCTCCCAAACATTGAGGTAGTGAGAGTTTTTATTTTAATTGTTACTTCTTTTAATTTCTGTCCATATGCATCCTGAAATTTAAAATAACCACTCTATTAGAATTGCTTTTGGCTTCAACAGACAAATTCTCAAAGGCGATAGGGGTTTAGTTTTTCTCTTTGGAAAGGAATCCCCCAAGTAGGCTGCAGTGGCTGAAAGGCACCAGCAGGGATAAGGTGCCTTGTGCTTGTGCTCCTGCTCTACCACCTCCATGACCTTTTGTCATGCTCATGGTCACAAGGTAGCCTCTACATCTCCCTGCTTCAATTCTGGTTTATCAGAGAGGGTAAAAATCAGGAACAGTCACATGGAAGATAGATAGGCATAGGACATACTATGGGGGAGGGAACACAGAATTTCCATGCCCTTTCTAGGTATACCAACCTACCAGTGCCTCCATGTGTACCAGCCCCAAAGTTTCAATATATGGAGTTTTTATTCAGCTGCAATACTGACTTGCTAGACTAGTTGTTTTCCTGGCACAACAAACTTCAAGCTCACAATTGAAGCATATATAAATGACGTTTGAGATATTACTGTAATTGTTAAGTCACATATATATTTTTTTTCTGAGACAGAGTCTCACTATGTCACCCTCAGTAGAGGGCTGTGGCGTCACAGCTCACAGCAACCTCTATCTCCTGGGCTTAAGTGATTCTCCTGCCTCCGCCTCCCAAGCACCTGGGACCACAGGCGCCTGCCACAACACCCAGCTATTCATTGTTGTTTGGCAGGCCCAGGCTGGATTGAACCCACCGGCTCCAGTGTATGTGACTGGCGCCCTAGCCACTGAGCTGCAGGTGCTGAGCCAGTTAAGTCATATTTTGAGTGAAACAGGGTTTTGTGAGCCAGGGTGAGACTGTAACAGGCTTTTACAACATAAATTCATTCAATAATAATTTATTGATTGTTTTATATCCCAGGCATTGTGCTTAGTACCAGGGATACATGTAGGAATAACATGGTCCTTATCCTCAAAAAACTTAGTCTAGTAAAAAGGCAAGTATATAAATGATACCCTTTCTGATAGAGGAAAGATGCACCAGATGCTCTGGAAACAAAGATTCAGCTAATTTAGATCTGGGAGTGTTTGAATCAAGACAGTGGAGAAGTCTCCTAAAGAAGGAATTGATGATGGAATTGCGTCTGGGTGAATAGGAGTTCAGGATGAGAAAAGAGAAGTTTATATTAAGCCACTGGTTCTCAGAACTTTATTGTGCATGCATCAGAATCACCTGGAAGACTCGATTTTGATTTTTTTGTTGTTCATTCACAAGTATTTATTAAGCAGCTTTTTATGTGTCAGGTATTATATTTTTATTTGGATTTTTTCATTTCTGTAATTTATAGTTTTAGAAGTTAGCTAAGTTTATTTGCAAGACTATCTTCAATTATCAAATGACAATCACATTTACCCACTTTTTTCTCTTTTTTTTTTTTTTTCATACATTTACCCACTTTTTTTCTTTCTTTTTTTTTTTTAGAGACAGAGTCTCACTTTATCACCCCCAGTAGAGTGCCATGGCGTCACACAGCTCACAGCAACCTCCAACTCCTGGGCTCCGGTGATTCTCTTGCCTCAGCCTCCCGAGTAGCTGGGACTACAGGCGCTTGCTACAATTCCCCACTATTTTTTTGTTGCATTTTGGCTGGGGCTGGGTTTGAACCTGCCACCTTTGGTATATGGGGCCAGCGCCCTACTCACTGAGCCACAGGTGCCGCTCAACTTTTTTTCATTGTCTTAAAATTTCAGATTAATATGAGGGTGCAAACCATTAGGTTATATAATTTACACATGAAAGGTAAAACACAGAATTATAGTTGTGTCTTACACCCGGGGAGTGTGCCATATATCTGTGCATTGTACCCATTGGGTAGGAAGCCATGGAGCTCCTTCCCCACCTCCCCCCTTCTTTAATTTAATTGAGCTTTTCTCTCATATGGATCTGTGATTGTTAATCGCCTCGTTTCAAATTGGTATTGAGTACATGTGATGCTTGTTTTTCCAATCTTGCGATACTTAAGAGAATGTTCTTCAAATCCATCCAGGTTTTTTTTTTTTTTTTTGAGACAGAGCCTCAAGCTCTCCCCCTGGGTAGAGTGCCTTGGCATTACAGTTCACAGCAACCTCCAACTCCTGGGCTCAAGTGAGTCTCCTGCCTCCGCCTCCCAAGTAGCTGGGACCACAGGCACTTGCCACAACGCCCGGCCATTTTTTTGGTTGCAGCCGTCATTGTTGTTTGGCGGGTCCAGGCGGGGGAATGGAACCCGCCACCTTAGGTGTACGTGGCTGGCGCCTTAGCCGGTTGAGCTATAGGCGCCGAGCCTCCATCCAGGTTGTTATAAAGGATACAAAATTTTCATTTTTTTAGGGATGAATAGTATTCCATGGTACACATATGACACAGTTTATTAATCCAGTCATGTGTTGATGGGCACTTGGGTTGTTTCATCTTTACAATTGTGAACTGAGCAGCTATGAAGATTCTGGTGCAGATGTGCCTGTGGTAAAATGTCTTTTTATTCTTTCGGGTAAATGCCTAGTAGTGGAATTGAAGAGCCAAATGGTAAGTCTACTAATTTTAGTTCTTTGTGGAATCTCCATACTTCTTTCCATAGAGGCTATACTAGTTTGCAGTCCCACTAACAGTGCCTGAGTGTTCTCTTCTCTCCTTCTCTCACCAACCATACTAGGAACTGTTGCATTGGGACCAGGAGATGTGGCCCATTCTTATTGGGGTTAAGTGATATCTCAAAGTAGTGTTGATTTGCATTTCTCTGGTAATTAGGGATGATGAACATTTTTTCTTGTGTTTATTGGCCATTCTGTCTTCATGTCTCTTGCCCAGTTTTTAATGAACTTTACTCTTTTCTTCCTGACATGCTTGAATTCATTGTAGAGTCTGGTGATGAGGCCCATGTCGGATTTGTAGCACATAAATTTCAACCATTCTAAAAGTTGTCATTTTGCTTTGTGGATTATGTCCTTAGCAGTGCAAAAACTTTTTTTTTTTTTGCAGTTTTGGCTAGGGCTGGGCTTAAACCCGCCACCCCGGTATATGGGGCCGGCTCCCTACTCCTTGAGCCACAGGCACTGCCCTAATGCAAAAACTTTTTAACTTGATCAGGTTCCATTTATTTATTTTTGTTGCATCTGCAACTGCTAGGGAGGGCTTCTTCATAAATTTAATTCCTAGGCTAGTAAAATCAAGAGTTTTTCCCCCACTTCTAGGATTTTTATTGTTTTGTATCTAAGATTGAGATCTTTATCCATCTCGAGTTAATTTTTGTGAGTGATGAGAGGTGCAGGTCAGGTTACATTTTCTTACATATGGCTAACCAGTTCTCCCAGCACCATTTATTATTTTATTTTTGAGACAGAGTCTATGTCACTCTCTGTAGAGTTCTGTAGCATCATAGCTCACAGCAACCTCTAACTCTTGGGCTTAAATGATTCTCTTATCTCAGCCTTCCAAGTAGCTAGGACTACAGGCGCCTGCCACAGTGCCCAGCCATTTTTTTGTTGTAGTTGTTAATGTTTTCGGCAGGCCTGGGCCAGGTTCGAACCCACCAGCCCTGGTGCATATGGCCCATGCCTTAGCTGCTGAACTACATGCACCGAGCTCCAGCACCATTTATTGAATAGGGAATCTTTTCCCCAGTGAATGCTTTTTTTTTTTGCTTTTTTTTTTTTTTTTTTGGAGACATAGTCTCACTTTGTCATCCTGGGTAGAGTGTCATGGTGTCATAGCTCACAGCAACTTCAAACTCTTAGGTTCAAGTGACCTTTTTGCCTCAGCCTTCTGAGTACCTGGGACTACAGGTGCCTACCACAATGCCTGGCTAGTTTTTCTATTTTTAGAAGAGACAGGGTCTCACTCATGCTAAGGCTGGTCTTGAACTGCAAAGCTCAAGCAATTCACCTGCCTCAGCCTTCCAGAGTGCTAGGATTACAGGCGTGAGCCACTGTGCCCAGCTCTCAGTGAATACTTTTGTTTGTTTTGTTGAAGAGTGTGTGGCTATATGAGACTGGTTTTCCTTCTGCTGGCTTTCCACTTTTCCTTAATACCCTTCATCATTTTTGCCTTCGATAATCTGAATTCCCTTTCTGTCGTTTCCACAATTTCTCTGTAGTTGGGATCTTCTGAGGTAGCAACATTATCATCCCTTGTGGGAGATGATTTGGTCTGATACTTCATGATGGCAGTGACTTTTTGTTGTTTCTTCCTTTCATGATGCTTCTTTTTTAACTCTAGGTATATTCTTCTTCTTTTTCTTCTTTTTTGAGACAGAGTCTCAGTATGTCACCCTCAGTAGAGTGCCATGGCGTCACAGCTCACAGCAACCTCCAACTCTTGGGCTTAAGCAATTCTTTTGCCTCCACCTCCCAAGTAGCTAGGGCTACAGGCGCCTGCCACAGTGCCCAGCTATTTTTGTTGTTGGAGGTGAAGTTGTCATTGTTGTTTAGCTGGCCCAGGTTAGCCTTGGTGCATGTGGCTGGCACTATAACCACTGTGCTACAGATGCCAAGTCTGGATATATTCTTCTTATCGAGAGTTTAAAAATTTTTTTTTCCTAGGATAATAAGGAGGTGCTCCAGTATACAAAAAACACAGCTGCTTTTGCATGTGAGCCTCCAAGTCTGGAAATTGACTTTCACATCTTGAGGCATGTCAAGATTGGTTTTCCCATTCTGAGAGTGAATGCTTTGCAGGTAGTGTGCTCCAGTGAACAGTGACCCAGGCCAGAGGTGTAGGCCACTAATAAGGGCCCTGCAGCCTAGCTCTGGGAAACTGTGTGACCTCTATCAGTGAGGTAGGGGACATGCCCCCTTGATCCAGATTGTATGTAGAGACTGAAAAGTGGCACCAAGGTACGGACAGGACCACCCTAATCTGTTTTGCAGAGCCAAAAGATGGCCACCTGTACCTGGAAGGTGGAGCTGAAGTCAGTTACACAGTAGACCCCTGGAAAGCCACACCGCTCTGGACCCTCACAGTCTTCAGCAAATTCAGGGTCTCTGGCAGCAGAGCCCTGCTCCCCTTATTATTTGATAGCAGCCTAGTCACCTGTTCCCTAGGCTCCATGCCCAGACCTGCCTGTATTCCAGAAGGGAAGGCCTAGCCAGAAGTTGGTGTCTCTGTCCCTCTCCTTCCAGCCTCTGCTAGCATTTGACACCCTACAATCCTATGAGTGCCTGGCTCACACACGTTTCCCTCTGATGATTCTGTTCATGAGGATAGGCCCACCCAGGAATCAAACTAGATACCAGTCCACTCAGGAAGGGGACAGTAGGGGGTGGCAGTGATCCATTGGCTGTCCCCTGACAAGCTCCAAGGGTAGGCTCTATCCCTGGGTCTCGGCACTGCACCCCTGTACCTGCTCTTCATGCTGGTCTCCCTCCCTCCTTTGCTTTAGTGTTACTAATGTCCCAGTCTGCCACTCTGTACCTTCCCAGCGCTTTTTCTGAGCAGGACAATCTAGAATGTGGCAGTTGGTGCAGGTTTTCCAGCCTTCACAAGAGAACAGCTCAGTTGCTTTTAGAGATGTTTTTACTTCCTATCTTCCAAAGTTGACATTGCTGCTCTCACTGGACTCCCAACCTGCTGCTTCTGCTGCTTCTGCTGCTTTCTCCTTCCTCAAAGTTCTCCTGCCCTGATTAGAAGACTTATTAAAAATCAAATTGCTGACCAGGCACAGTGTCTCACACCTATAATCCTACCACTCTGGGAGGCCAAGTTGGGTGGACTGCCTGAACTCAAGGGTTTGAGACCAGCTTAAATCAGAGTGAGAGACTCCATCTCTAAAAATAGCCAGGCGTGGCTCAGCACCCATTGCACAGTGGTTACAGCACCAGCCACACACACTGAAGGTGGAGGGTTCGAGCCCGACCCGGGCCAGCTAACCAACAATGGCAACTGCAACAAAAAATAGCTGGATGTTGTGGCGGGTGCCTGTAGTCCCAGCTACTTGGGAGGCTGAGGCAAGAGAATCTCTTAAGCCCAAGAGTTTGAGGTTGCTGTGAGCTATG